ATTTATCGCTTTAATCTACGCTAAACGATTCTAACTTGTCCTACGCTAAAAAATTCATGCAAAGTTTTCTCTATTAATTTGCAAATATAATAATAAATCGGATATTCTGAGATTCGAATTCCAGATCTCCTGGTATGAGATTCGGAGTCAGACTATCATTTTTTTCTTATATGAAGTATACAGTGACTAAAATGTATACAACTACGATCTCCTGGTTAGTCTAGTCGTCAAACTAATCATCTTTTATATTTATTTTCATGCGAAACATTTGGTGATTTCATCTATTATGTTTAATTCAATTTTTTGTGAATCCCACTTAAAAACGTGTATTAATATATCCATTACTTTCTTTTTTCGGTCTTTTGTTTTTAATGAATCCAGAACTTTGGTTAAAAGCAAAAGGAAATTAAAAATCTATGACAAAGATTTATCAATTCTTTCAGATAAGACACGACAAAACAGAAATAATATAATAGTGAATTATGAGAATTAGAAAATTGCATAGCCCACCGACTTCTAAAAATAGATATGAAGACGACTATACAAAAGTACCGTTTTCTTCCAACCGGGTAATCCAACATGATTATGGATGGATAATAAAGATAAATAAAGTGAATTTTTAATATTATAAAATTCATATATTTATCTATTTCTATATTTAAGTTTCTAAATATAAGATTTATATTATCTATATTTAATGGGATAATATAACATTTTTCTTTCTCTCCTCTATTTCTCCTCTCTTCATCGATTCCAATACAATTAATATTATAAAATTTATATATTTACCCCAATATATTTATTACCTATAATCATGTTCTAACATGGTTGGTACTTTAAAATTGTCAAAAAAATAGGAAAGTTTTCACCAACAATTTTTCACAATATTGAGAAAATTTACGTTTTATGAAGAAAAAAAAACTGGTTTTATAACTATGGGATATTATGAATTCAGAATCTAAAATCTGTAAACTAAAAAACAAAACCCAACTATTTTAAATAAACCCTTTAACAAAAAAAAAAACTATTTTAAATAGCAAAGGAAAAGAGAGAGTCTTATGATATCATTTTCCAGAAAAAGTGGAAAATCACATGGGGAAAAAATATTTTCAAACGTTGGAAGTGAAATGTCGAATCCATCAAATCTTTTTTTGTTTTTCCATTATATGATCGAGAAAGTAATCAAACTTAATTACGATATTTGATACACGAAAGGGCACGAGAAGGGGATGCACCTCACACGTGATGTTCACGGCGACAAGACAGTCCTTGCCTCTTCGATGTTGCACTCAATACATATACAACCCTTTTTTTCTTTTGCAAATACTGAATACAACCTTAATTTGTGATCTTTGTTTTTTGGACTTTCTTTATTTATTTTATCATAGTTCCATTCGCACTCCATAAAATAGTAGGGACATAGGTTTTATATTCTTTGTTTTTTCTTGTCAACTTAGGACCTCCCATTTCTCTTATTTTTACCTGTAATATGAGATCAAACAAAAATAGTAAAATGCTAGATACCTTGGTCTTCTATAAGTCATTTTTGTTTTTTCGAACAACTCTGATAAAATAACACTAATATATGGGAGAAGAGTCGATTTTCTTTAGTTTCAAGAGACCGCCGCAAATGTAACCAACAGTCTTTAAGTTGTAAATTTGTAAATGGGGGAGAAAGTGGATAATTGTATTTTTAGAATTTTGTTGCTTTGAAAAACAAATATTTAGAATCCGATTGATCATCTAAAACGATATAGTTTTTTTAACGGTAACCGATTACAAAATAGTTAAAACCTGTGAAAAGTACATGTAATGTTTTTGATAGCGTTTTTTGTAGTGTTTTATGACTTATAACCATAAAAAGGGTATATTTTATACAGTAACAATAAAAAGCTATCAGTCAAACCTTTAGTTTTCTGACTAAAGAAAATTCAATAGCTGTC